GCGTGAATTCTGGAATATCGGAGTGTCGACGTTTGCCCCACATCCAAACGAAACAACCCTTCGTCCGTATGTGCTTCAGAAGCGCCCGAAGGCTTTCACAGCGGAAACAGTTTTATTCTTAGATATCTTGCGAATTTGGGACACGAACTTTGTAACCTGGTTGGAAGAAGGAGTAGAGAATGAGACACACTTTTATTGAAAGGTAGGCTTGATTAATGAAGTCTCTCGGACGGGTGGAGATAACCATGTATCCGGGTAGAATTGTCTTGGTTCAATTAACCCGATGGACGGGTTGTGTTTACTAGGCTCTCAATAACCCGTTAATTGAGTTACAATAATCCAGTCAGATTTGAGGTTTCGACTGGGTGAAGTGTCAAAAAAACGAGCAATAGTCACCCGGAAGTGACCCGTTTAAAGGTCGGGATTTCAACCCGATTTTCGGGTGAATGTCACTGGATTCGGGGTGTAATCATCCATTGAACGGGTTGCTTTGACCCGTACCACGGGTTAAAAAACGGGTGAAAAAAACCCGAGCAGAGTCTTACAGTGATTGTCATTGATCATACTCGCCATTGGGGACATAAATTTGTGGCTGTGGCCCCCCAAAAAGGTCGAGCGCGTCGGAGCCAAAATCCCGGCGCCGTACAGCCTGAGCTCAGTTCAACAAAAATCACCAGTCGCCATGTGATGCCGGAAAGCCCTGTTGGAATTGACTTCTCGACCCATATCTAGCGAGGTCAGCAGAAGGCAACGGCATAAGGGCGCGTGGTATCGTCCCACGGTGAGGTCCGATGGATGGTCGTACTGATCAAGCAGGTGAGTTCGTTCAGCATTTACTTTGTCCTCCACTCGTGACTTTTATCACAGATTGATTTACGCTACTAGACCATTCAGTCTTGAGTCTCGAATCGCATCGACAAACTACTGCCCGGTTTCAGGTTGACAAGCCGTTCTCCTACTGGTATCGAGCTTCCCACAGGAACTCATCGACACAATTATGCCGTAGCGGTTCCGCTCAAAGTTCCCTTCTTTCGCGTGCTCCTCTCGTCTGCAACCGTCTCTACTGTCTTCTCATCTCATTCCGAACCACTTGCGCGTGAACCGCGGTAGAACCTACCCTCTTCACGACATTCAAAACCCATGCTGACCCACTGGCGGTTCCCCAGGCCCTGTCATCTACTCTTGGCGTTTGTTCACTGCTCAGCGCTGCAGCACCTTTGTTTAAATGGTATGTCATCGAGAGACGGCATCCTCCTCGGCTTAAAAAAAAGAATTCCGCGCGCGCGCCTAGATACCCACTTCGGCACCGTTACAGATGGAGAGAGGGGGCACAAGCAAACCATGGCCCAAGCAACATCCGCGGTCGGAATTTAGTAACTCCTATTTCAACCCCAGTCGCACTCTCGCGGCATTTGAAGTTGAATGTCAACCTATACCCTCCAATCACATACTTCTTGGTATACAATGTCCTAAATTCCATTGAAAGCAACAACTTTGAAACAGCTATGTACTGAAACCGGAGGATCGAATTACTTCCGGGCGGGCAAGAACGCATTGGGGCTGAACGCAGGTACAACTCCGCTCTGCACCTTGAACGGCTTCGCTTTGACCAGCGTTCCAGATCCTGCGTACGAGTCGAGTGCGGGCGGGGCCTTGAAGGGCTGGCACTCGGTGTTGAAGACCCCTGCAAAGGAAGAATGAGAATAAGCCAGTGAACAATGCATGGGGGCTTACACTCGTCTAAGCTAATGTGGGCCGGGTCGTCGAAGGTGAGGTAGCTGCGAAATACAATCAACAAGAGCTGAAGGACGCGAAGCATATGAAATGGACGCACAGGTACTTCAGGACCTCTGCGAACCAGAACGATTCCTCGTCATCGATCAGGCCGCCATTGACGCTGTTCACATTGTTCAATCCAGCAAAGGCCACGGTCGCCGGCAGGAATTTGTTGAACGAGTCGATCGCGCTGGCTGCGCGGTCCAAATACTTGGTGTCACCGGTTACTCTAGGAGGCTGTGAGTAGAGTATAAGTGATAATGAGAACCAGTTCGCGTACCGCCATGCGTGGCTGAGAGAAGCAGTACAAGATGAGAAAAGAAAAAGGATGTAACAGGTTACGAAACACTTGCAAGTTGGATTCCAGGACTGTGAATACGGGTTCGTTAGACGGACGAAGTAGAGGATGTTGCTGGATCTATACCCTCCGGACGCAGAATATAGGCAGACGAAGTGATGTAGTAGCCGTGCTGGTTGTAGAAAGCCGTCTGTGCCGCCGACGGCGTGCTTCCACCAGTGAAGCTGCCGTCTGAGCTGATGAACGCAAAGGCCTCTGGGCCAATACCAGTGCTGAGAAATGATAGTCAGTGACTACAAAGAGACGTGAGTTAATACATATACATACGCCGTGCTCGCATACGTGTTCTATCGTAGACTGCCAGTCAATACCAGAAGAGATAAGAGCCGCAAAACAACGTACCCAGCAACCTTCGTTGAGATCCAGTGCGATGTCGATGATGGTCTGATTCTGCAGGAGCTTTCCGCCTGAGAAGAACCCTTTAGACCATGTTCACAGAATAAACAACAGAAGCGCACGCACCAAGCAACCAGTTTCCAGCGTAGAAGCACGCGAGATGCCTGCTCCAGTCAGACCAATCCTAGCACGAAGCAATACACAACTCACGAGCCGACGTGACGGATGCGAGTGCCATCAAATCAGCAAGGTACGTGTGGTTCCCCACGGTTGATGTCTGAGTGAAATAAATATCCACTGAGGATGAATTGTGGGGGTAAATCCGACGAACCTTTAGCAAAGTCCTGATGGAGGAATCTACAGCGGTCTACGATACACAGAATTAGGTGCAGGGTGCGAGACACCACTGAGACGCATGGGTACCTTCCAGGTGTCGATGAAAACGGGATCGTCGGTGTTGGTGAGACGTGCGTATTTGACGAGGTACTCGAAGTACGAGTCACTTCCGCCTCCCCAGGTCTGCCGCGCGTCACCGACGTGTTCATCTAACCGCAAATCGAAAGACTCACAACATAGCTGCCGACGGCATTACCCGTAGTCGGGTCGATTCCCTGGGCAGCGAGACCTAGGTGAAAAGAGTATGAGAAATCATCTCAAATGCAAGGTAATCCGATGGAAACCAACCTGGTAAAGGAGACGCCTGCAGATCAAGGAGGAAGGATCATCGTTAATGGTTGAGCCACCAAAGAAGTAAGGAAACGCCGTACGAGACTCGCAATGCGCTTGACAGAGCGGGAGGTCAGATTCCCGTAGGTCGCGTTATTGGTGTGTTTGCTCAAGGTGAACCATTCCAGGCTGAGCGTGCCGGCTTCAGCGATGTTGGACTGTGACATACAAGATCGTTGGTAAGGACAGCGCAAAATGAGGGAGGGAAGGACTCACCGTAGATCTCTGCGGAGTGTTGGTGCTGAAATCCATGAAGCCGTAGGGCTGCCGGCGAAATGAATATCTTCAATCATTTCCAGGATAAGATAAAGACGCACGACGTCGTTGTTCTAGATTCAAGAATCAGGACTGTGGAGATGGAAGATAAAGCAAGACTCACTCCGACCCAGCCAAAAGCCATCTTGTCGGCGACTTCCTGGAGGCGGGTGTTATTCTGCTGTCCAGTTCACGAACAATCACAGCGTGTACCTGCGCCTTTGTGACGAGAACGGGGAACTTCTCATCGCTGAGCTCGTACGCCGAGAGCAAGCCACCGACGTATCGAATCGTCGTCTCGAACAACGAGACCGTGTCGGACGTTTGAGATTTGCTGAAGTCGATCTGGCTGGAGAAATTGACAGCCTCCTCGAAGATGTCCTACCAACAATTATCGAATCGCGATGGGGAATAGAGAAGGGAAACAGTTACCTCCAGCCCCATAACGGCCTACACTCAGTTCAGGTGAGCGTTGAAGTCATGATTTGAAGCATTCTGTTACATGTACGTACCATGGTAGGCTGTCAAACAAGGGTTCAACTCATAATGATTCAAGAACAACCGTAACAGGAACGCACCAACGCATCCACAATCGACGCTCCCCAGCCATCTATTAACGAATGCAATCAACGACTCAACGAATTCGATGAAGTTGAGTGAACCTACTACGCCCATCCGAGAAGCCCTTGCTCACCGGCGAGAGGTCATCGTGTCCGAAAGCAAATTCCCTGGTGGTTTCAAAATGAGTACATTCCGGCGCGGCGCAGTCACCACCCACTTGTACGCGGCATAGCTCGTCGTGAACAGCTTCTCCGCGTCGTCACGGCGCGACGCATACTGCGCCGGGACAGCCAGACCAGGCAGCTGCACCGTGACGCCCGCCCACGAGGAAGACGAGAGGCCCAGCAGCAGCAGGATACACGAGTCACGACGCATGGTAGGTGCAAATAGCGAATAGAGCTGCCTACGCCTCGGAAGGGCCCTTAAATACCTCCACGACACCCGCTTGGCGCCAGAGCTTCCGAAGTTAGACGCATGCACGGAATCTGATTTGCGCAGAGGGCCACGCGACGGTCGACTCGGGACGCTGATTGACGATCAGCATGAGTATCACGCTGACGCGTCCCGCATGCAGTGCGCTCGCGTCTCTTCTTCCCTGCGGATGTAAGGCGGGAGAAGAGGAATAGCCGGGTTGGGGAATGCATAACCCAGGTTGGAAGACCTCGGTTCGTTGGCCAGACTTCAGTCCGCCGGCGGGAGAGTCGTTCTTCAAGTTGAGTCTAACTTTTTAAGAACGGATGACAACTTGAAGAAGCAACGATCATTATCATTGATGGCGGGGTTTCGACTGTTCAAAACCTTCCCGTCGGTTGAAAACTTATTGCACCCACTACCAGCCCAGCAACTCGTCGTCAAAAGGGTGCAACGTTTGTTGCCGGGGAGTGGGTAGTGAGCGCGCGTAAAAGAAGGGGATGGGGGAGGCGGTGGTACTACCGGCACAGCCAGGCATGCCCGCATGCGACAAAAAGCATGGTTTCGCATTGAGCCATAGCCATCGTGGGGGTCGAACCCAAGACCTGAGCTGATGCCTCGGCTTGGGGCCCTGCTAGGGGTCTGAAGCTCGCGTTATTAGCACGATGCTCTAACCAACTGAGCTAGCCGGCAACGGTGTGTGATTCTATATCGTCTAGATTCCCTTTGTCACAGGCTGGTCTTCCAACATGCGATGGCCGAAACTCGGGAGCTCTACCGTTCACGAATTTCCTTTGTCAAGATGAAAATACGAGGTTGGAATCATGGAATGGACAAGACATTCAACGGCGCATGGGCAAAATTTCCCGAATGAGCCAGCTGGCCACTTTGATCGATATACACGGACAAGTGAGTTCTAGTGGTGGAGATCAAGCTCCCAATTTGTCGTTGTTGAGTTGATTCACCCGATCTTACCAGTCAAAATTCAAGATATTTAAACTATTGAACCTGGTAGTTGTCTTCCGAAGTTGGAAGGGGGAGGTTTGACTCCTGTCTGTGGTGTGAATGAATATGTTGATCCCTTTGTTTTTTTCTGATTATCTTGTGATTATTTCAAACCGGCTCGAGGTCTTGCCAGCTTTTCTGCTGCCAAATACGGGCGGTCAAAGCGATATATTGTAATGTACTTAAGGTTAGGGTTAAGCCGGCGGAAGATCGAAAAAAAATGGTCCACCCAGCCGAGTCTGTCTCGGTAACCCAGACGTTCGCGCGACCTAGCACATTCCCTGTAGCAGTTTTATCTTATCTATGGCTCGGGATTGATCCGGCGGAGTTTGAATAAATGATAAGAAAAGGTGGGGCAACGATCACGCTAGAACGTCTGGGGCATTTGGTATAGCAACACCCCCCATCAAGTCACACTTTCTCTGTCACACAACCTTCAGAAAAGTGTCCTGTGGACTATGAGAGGACCAACTGACAGCCAAAAATGTGCTCAAGGATGGAATGTATAAATATAACATAGTCCAGTTTTTTTCCAGCCTAGTTTGGGGTTAAAGTGGTGAAAAATGGCATAAACAAGGGGTCGAGTAGTTGGTGTTTCAAATGGGATACACAGGCATAGAAATGAGCAGTAAATTTTCGGAAAAAATTGGAGAGCCATTTAGAAGAGGCGGATGGGTCAATATGACCAGCCTTGAGGGCAGCAACGTCGGGGGAAGGATGGGGAGAAGGGGTTGTGACAGGACGGGGGGGTGTTGCTATACCAAATGCCCCAGACGTTCTAAGCGTGATCGGCCCAACTTTTCTTATCATTTATTGAAAGTCCGCCGGATCATTCCGTGGCACTGATAAGATAAGTACCGCCTATTGAGAATGAGCACGCTGGAACGTCTGGGTTACCGAGACAGAGCCGAGTGGCCGTGGTGGAACAGGAAAATATTGAGACGGTGCATGCACCTAAGCACATACAAGCCGCAGGCGCACTCTGTGTGGACAGGGTCGCCGTGCTATGGAGTATTCCCACGGCCCACAGACCCAGGGAGGTGAAGGGGCCTGTGCCATCAAGGTAAGTATGAGTTGCATAGACGAGGAGAGCGGGCTTTTATACCGCTGGCAAGCGCACGGACCAGCAGCGCGTACGTATTGTTTGCGCAGGCGTTTGATGGACATTCACGTGCCAGCTCACGCGTTCTGACCAACCACCATGTTCGATTTTCAATTTTCTCTTCAGCTCAAAGACAACTGACAGTCGGCGCGCTAACTTCGACGCTCTAACCAACTGAACTAGATGGCCGATGGTATCCGACCTTTCCCCAAATTAGACCGACAGGGTGATCTTACTTGGACAACACTTGAGACTGAGTTAGCAGGCCAGTCTGATAGCAAAACCCAGGTCGATGTTTCCGGGAGACCGTGTTGCCATGAGGTTCAAAGGTAAACGCTTGTGACGTAGACCCCGCTTGAAAAGGAAACCACTTACATAAATTGCATTGGAAGCTTTTAAATTACGAGTCGAGATTATGTTCCACGAATCCTGACTGGTCGTTAATCCTAGCCTATTTTGTACGGATGCGAGGTTTTGAAATGTAAAAATTGTTACAGCGCTGGTGATTTATCCAAAAAATCCATCCCCTGCTACATATGCGTCCGGCGGGAGTCGAACCCGGAGCTAGGCCATGGGAAGACCCAATGTTACCGCTACACCACGAAAGCATTGATAAGTGATCGACGCGGGCAGACCACGTGGCAGTGAGCACGGGTCTGAAAAGGAAATACAAAGACGATCCTGAGAGGGGCGACGCCGCTGCGCATGGACTGGAATCAGAAAAATTCAAGCGCAAGACCACAGAAAGAAACCCCCCGTGCGCCGAATTCGACAGCCGAATGGCGGAGCAGTGGGATCAAAAAAAGAAAGATCAAAAAATTCTGAGTCGCCGGAAAGAGCAGAAAACGGGCAAGAAGTAGAAGGCAGGAAGACGCGCAGAAAGGAGCCTGGAGCAAAGAAGGGGAACACAGAAAGAATAGAACGGAGACGGGGGAACGCAGAAAGGCAGGGGGCCAGCGAGCCGAAGCAAAGATAAAAAGACGCGTAGAGCAGAAAATGGAAAGGCGCCAGCAGGCAGAAAGCAGGCAAAAGAGAGAGCAAGCCCCGTGTACCCAAAGCCGGAAGGCCTGAAGCTTGAAGACGGGGCGAGTGCGTTGCGTCATGAGATTGGGATACGCGGTTGGCGAACGTAGCTGGGCACAGGCAGCTCAAAAGCACGCCGAAGCCCTCGATTAGTTCGAAGAGTATTGTACCGTACATCCCTGTCTAAGGATCCATGTCAAAAGTACAAGTAAAGTAGAATAAAAACCATCTACGTGCCTCGCGCAAGCACTGTGTCTTGCGGTATTCTTTTAACGCCCTACACCGTTATCCTCAATAACCGCCTAACAGCACCCACCACCTCACACAACCGCAACCGCAACCCCCACCCCAACGAGCGCCTCGCCAATCCCACCTGGCCCCCGACTCCTGCTCCTACTCCTACCACTCCTGCTTCGACTCCGGCTCCCACTCCTATCACCATTCCCACTCCCGCTCGTACCACGCCTGCTTGGACCACTCATGGTCCGAGGCCGCCACCACCTATCGGCGGCGGGGGTCGCGCTGGCGGCGGGGTCGAGCGCGAGGAAGCTCGGCGGGGGCGGACTCGCGCTGTGGTCATCGCTGAGCAGCGAACTCGCGCGGCTGGGGAACGATATGACGGACGCCGAGGCCGATTCGGAGGACGAGTCGGGCGCGACGAGCCGCGTAAACGGCCCCACCTCCGCCGGCTCGCGCACGGGCGCGGGGTTGAAGAGCGCGTCGATGAGGGAGGCGGTGCCCGCGGGGCCGGAGGCGTGTGGGAGGAGGTGGACTGAGAATGAGGGTCTAGGTAGGTTTTTTGAGAGCGGGATTTTGTGAATTCGGGGGTGTGGGGAGGGAGGAAGATGAAGACGCTGCGGAGCTGGGCGCAGAGAGTGGGAGGGGGAGCGGCGCGTACAGGTCTAGCACGCCTGGGCGCGTGCGGTAGACCTCGTCCCGCGTCGAGAGAAGGCTGGCACTAGCCGTCGCGAGGATCTCGCCTTGCGGGAGGGGCGGGGCGATGTACGTTAACGACGGCACAGAGGTGGAGGTGGAGAGCGGCGCGACGCGCACAGAGAGGCGCAGCGTCGCATTCGTTTTGCTCTCGAGGAGGAGGTAGCGGCGCGTTACGGTGCCTTTGCTGGGTACGCTCAAGTTCAAGTTACTCGCACCCGGACCTGCAGCAGCAACGTCCGACGAGTCTGCGTACTGGGCCAAATCAAGCTCGACGACGCCCAGGCGCGGGTTTCTGCGGCGCGTCGGGGTCACCCGGGATCACGCGCTGCACTACTTTGAGCCGCAGCGGATGCGGGAGGAGGCGGTGTGTGGTGCGGTCGACGGACATTTGCACGACGGCGGAGAGTGGGTGGTCCCACGTCACAGCGTGGTCGCGCAGCGGCAGGAAGACGGTCTGCCCCGAGCGCTCAATGGTGTCGGCGGTGAACAGTGGCTCCTCCGCGCTGCCGAAACTGTCTGCGTCGCCGTCCGGGTCGCGTTCCGCAGGATCAGGGGTCCGTTCCTTCCCCTTCGGAGCCCGGTGCGTATTCTTCCACTTCCACTTGACGCCGAATTCGCCCCGGACGAGGGGCACGCTTGCGAGCGTATGGATTTGGATGGAGACCTGGAACAGCGCGTGTCGGGGGACGAGCTGCCGCAGATGCGCTCTCAGACCGCCGGTGGACGGTCGAGGGGCAGGAGCGTCGTCGTCGGTTTGGCTGGACATCAAGGCATGCAGGAGGTAGAGGGGAAAGGGGCCAGAGGGGAGAATTTGCCGCTTTATGAATGTTGCACGTCGCTGACATTATGCGGGGAAAGGGACACGGAGAAGGGGGTTGCCCAATTTGGAAGGCGGCACAGATTGTTACACCGTCGACGTCGACGCTGGCGGTCTCGTCTGACTTTCTCGTCAAGTCGGTGTTTGTTGGAGATCTGTGCCACGTCGCAGCTGTTTGCAATTGGGATCCTTGGGGAATCCTCGTCTTGCTTCAGCTGCAGCTTGTCGGAGGTACTCCAAAGTCAGGCGCTCCACATTGACATCGACTCTTCGCGTTTTCAAGCAAAGCGTTTCTGGTTTCTAGGCGCTACTGGGCGTTGCTGACAGACATCTTGCTCATTCATCAGCAAACGATACAGGCCCTTGACTTGCGCGCGTCTTTGTAATGGCTGTCCTTGTCGAAACGTCACGGAAATATCTTACACAAACGGTTTGTGTAAGATATTTCAGGTCACACCATCTTCGGCCCTCGGCTTTCCATGACTTGTCCACCTTTCGGCACACCAATGATGACAATCCGTAATGCTTTCGTGGTGTAGCGGTAACATTGGGTCTTCCCATGGCCTAGCTCCGGGTTCGACTCCCGGCGGACGCATTGAATACCTGGGATGTATTTTGCAGCACTCTGCCTTTTCGCCGCTCCTCTTTTTCTTCCCCTGCCCCTCTTTCGCCGCGTCCGCTTAGTTGGCGAAGACGATGTATCTGCTTCCCTCAACTCCCGGCGGATACATGGGTGATCCCGCTTGTGCCCGACAACTTTTTCTAACTTGATTTGAACGAGCGGTCACGCCTGATTATCGCCTCGTCCTTACCTCCATCATCCTCTTTCGTGGTCTGGACTCAAGACAATATGGCAAAAAATATACGGCAATGGGCAGAACGCGACACCCTGTTCGCGCCACGCGCACATTCGGTCCGCGGTCCGCGTGCGATGAAAAACCAGAGGCCCGAACATGTGTGTGATTCGTTCTTTAAATAACGTTAACGTTAACTCTACAGCTGTAACAGCATTGCACAGGTATGAAAGTGTTATAAGCGCAAAATGCCTGCGGCTTCGTCTGACCATGTCGGATAGCCACCTCTACACTCGTCTGCTCCTCCCAAAGCGCCACGGCTACCCTTTGTCTTGTCCAGCACCATATGGCGATGCACCTTTGGAGGCACGCCGGGCCGGGATAGAGATAGGTGACGTTGGCGTCATAATGCCCGACGGGTCGTTCGACGTGATTTTCAGCATTTGTCGCTCATCGTATGACCCTGCAAACCGGTTCGGAGTCCCCAGAGGGTTCGAGCGAATCAATCTCGGTCCTGAAGACATTGCTTCTCGACCGGAGTACCACGACCCTGGCTCTCATGTATCCAATACAACCATTAACAAGCGACGACTGGGCGTGGACGCCGGTACAGAGAGTAACGTGCAAGTGTGCCTCTGTGTTTCCAGCACCGCATCTCACTCGACTGCTTCAGATTCCTCCCGGTGGGCGCAGGAGCAGTTGTAGAGATCTCGACATCCTCGAAAGAGACCGCGGTACTTTTATTGCCCAACGGCGCGTCGAGGGCTAATCTTCGGCCGTTGGACAAATTCCGCAATTACGCGATCAAGAACGCTCAGCGTTGGTACGAATTTGTCAACGGATCCCTGGAGCGTAGGGTCGAGAACGGCGACTTGTATCTTGTCACCGGTATGGACAAGTCGTCTTCCTGGAGTATCGCCGCGGCCGAAAATCAGTCTGAAGATTGCAATATCTCTCTCAAACTGAAGGCTGCCCAGGTCGGGGCTGTCCAAACCTCCTATATCTGGGAATGGGAAAACACAAGCTCATTTGCTGCTTCGGTCCCAGAAGACCTCCGGAAGAACAATCGTGGGGCGAAAATCAAACCGTGTTTCTCCGAGGCTACAAAGTCGCCATTCGGTCAATACCTCTGAAGAAATCTGCAAAGGCCGTCTCCATTGTGGATTCCAAACCATCGGAGATTCTATTCAAATCCGGATTTATTCCTTTTTCACCGTCGCCATCGGGTAGTGGTGTTCGTCGCTTTTTTCAGGGCGCATCTGCATCCAGTCCTTCCGATGACGCGGAAGCGGAACGGAAAAGTCCCCCTTCATCCGACAGCGGTGCTTCGGATGATGAAAAATTGGTTGAATATTTTCCCAGCAGTATTAAGGTCTGTCGTCTCTCGTAGCGGCTTCAATGAGGAAACTAATGTGTCCAGGCATACCACCCTGGAGACGCCATCAACGAGTACCTCCTCGGCTCCGTGAGTTACTAACCACAAAATCACAATCTTTGGTATGAGCTCCCCTTAGTGTCCTGCTGCTCTGGTGGCGGTAACCCACGACGACGAATGGCTCTCGCTGTTGAAAGAGGTGTGTAACCTGGTTTACTGGTATCCTACACAAGCTTACCCATGTCAGAACGAGGAGGAAATTCCAGGGGTTTCCGAACTAAACCGCCGCATCGCCACCAAATACCTGACCGATAAATGTAAGATTGAAACTTTTTCAGGTAAGAATACAGTATTCATTTACAGTCTGCGGCTCAACCGAGTTGATTTGAAAGACGGGGTCTGGCTGACGCATTTGATTGAACCGACCTCGAATCGTCCACTCCCAAACGACCCCAGTCCCAAGACGATCTCCACGCGTTTGATTGAACCGACCTCGAATCGCCCACTCCCAAACTATTTCAGTTCTGGGTCAGGCTCGGAACATTATAGAACCGGGCTGAACAACGTAGCGCAGCAGCACGGATATACGATATCGTATGAAGCCTCGTGGACCGGACCTAGTTCCAAACCGCAGTGGACAGCTTTTGTTTATTGTGCGTGATC